TTGCCTGATGGGTAGGAAAGGAGATGGGCTGGATGGTTGCGCTCTGGTTTTGGAGCATATAGCACTAGAGGATGAGATTTCCTTTAGTGTTTTGTGGAAGTTAGGGTTGGGAGTGATATGAGTTTTAATAAAATGAAGTAAAGACAAAGGGTTAGAGTAGAAGACTTGATGAAAGGCAGTTAGTATGGGTTTAATTTGTTGTTCTGATAGGTATTATTAAGAAATCAGTATCATTGGTGCTGGCTAGCCCCCTGAGTTTTTAATAGTCTTATCTCTTTTTTTGTGTAATTATAGTGAATTGGTAGAATGGCAGGGGGTGGGAGGGTTGGACAGCATTTGTTGGGCCACCTGTTTAGCTGTGGTACCTGCCAAATTATGGCTAATACATATGAAGGTGTTATCCTTTTGATATCCCTTACAGTGAAGGATGGCAGCTTTGTGAGGGAGGGTGGCCTCTTGTAAAAGGGCCATAATATGTTTTGCATTGGTTATTTGGGATTACTTAGTTAAGAAACCCATTTCTTCCAGATCTGGCTGTTGGAATGGATGATGCTGTATGTATATTTTGATTCAGTATAGATATTAACCAACTTATTTTTTGCCCTTTGTCATGCTCATGTAAGAGCATACGGTTCTGCCTGTTGGGAGGTAGTTATAGGAAGAAGGCTGTTGGTCTCTGTTATTGTATATGTACTACTATTTTGGTGCTCCTCAACTATGGTGTATCCTACTCTAGCTGCAGAGGTAGAGCTGCCGTCTATGAACCAAGTGCGGGCATCAGGTACGGGGTGTCTAGGATGTGATGAAAGGTTGTAAGTAAGTCATCAAGTACCTGAATACAGTCATGAGTTGGGGACTCTGGGTTAGGTGGGATGCTTGAGGGTAAGAAGGTAGCAGGGTTTACTCGCTGACATTGCCAGAAAGTTAGAACAGCTTGTAGGAGTGTGAGATTTGAACATGAGATTGGGAGATGGAGTTGAGAGCTTTGTGGCTAATTAAGTCCTGAATATTGTGAGATGACCAGACTGTCATAGGTAAGTTAAAGGTTATTTTTTGAGCTTTTGGTATTAAGAGAGCTGCTGTGGCCAATACTTTTTAGGCAGGCTGGCCAGCCCTGTAAATGTGGTCTCGCTGTTTTGAGAAGTAAGCTATTGGAGCCACTGAGCCTCCTGCACTTTGGCCACCAGGCTCAAAGGTTGGCCTTTGTCTGACTGTAGGTATAGGTGAATAATTTTGTTTGGATTGGGATAGAAAGTGCAGAAGCCCTTGATAAAGCTTGTTTGAGGAGATTAAAAGGGGTCAGGAGGGCCCTGGGGCAAGGTAAAGAGACTCATCTGTGTCTCCTCTAACAGTGTCATATAGTAGTTTGTCTATTATTGAATAATTAGGAATCTAAATTCTAAAATACCCATTTAATCCTAGAAATAAAAGAATGTCCCTTTTTATCTTGTGAAGAGGAATTTGGAGTATGACAGTTTTTCTGTTTTGAGGTATTTGATGATATCCTGGAGTTAATGAAAGTCCTCTTGATAAAGAAATGTGGGGGAAAGATCTGAAGGAAAGCTCCCTCCCCGAGCTGGGCCCTGGTTTCACAGGCGTGTTCTCTCCCCCTGCCAGCCCCAGTTTCACAGATGTGTTGGTGTGGTATGCTGTAACCTTGTGCTAGTATGAAATGTTGTAACCTCCCAGTGATAGGTTAACTGCCACGTTTGCTTTTGTTCTTCCCACGTGCTTTCTTCCACATTCTGAGGCATAACCCCCGCCAGCCTTGAGCTGTGGGGCCGGTGCCATTTTTGGAGAGATCCAGGGTGCTAGCCCACTAACATAATAAATCTTCCTTTCCGCCAGCCACCTGGGTTTGAGTCTTGCTCTTGCTAGTCCAACATTCTTCCCACTATGAAAAAGATTGAGGTTGAAATAAGTTGGGCCTTATTCTTGATACCAAATATCCCCAGTGTGCTAATGAGTAGAATAATGGTGTGGGTCTCGCATAAGGATTTTGAGGGGCTACATAGAAGGTAGGTCATCTATATACTGGCTGAGGTTGCTTGGGAAAAGAGGGCATTGAGATCCTGCTGTAGGGCTTGGCCAAAAAGGTGGAGGGAGTCTCTGAATCCCTAGGGGAGGACCAGGTTAATTGTTGGGTGTGATGGATAATGGGATCTCTCCACATGAAGGCAAATAAGGGTTGGGAGGAGGGATGTAAGGGGATCGTAAAGAAGGCATTCTTGAGATCCAGGATTGAAAAGAAAGAGGTTTGGGGAGGAATCTTGAGATCCAGGATTGAAAAAAAAGAGGTTTGGGGAGGAATCTCGGAGAGAAGAGAATATGGGTTAGGAACCACAGGATGAGTAGGGTGAACAGCAGCATTGATTTTTCTGAGGTCTTGGACTAGTCTAAAGGAGCTATTGGGTTTTTTAACTGGAAGGATGGGCATGTTGTAAGGGGAGTTAACAGGGATTAAGAGACGAGAGGTTTTGAGTTGATCTGTAATTAATTTTAGTCCTATGTGTCCCTGCCTGGGATATTGTGGAATGACAGTGGGGACAGAAGGGTCCTTTAGAGTGATCCTAACAGAAGTATGATGTGAAGCTATGAAGGGTTGGGCTGTGTCCCAAACCTGGGAATTGACTTCCTGTAGGAGGTGGGGAGAGGTTTTGAGTCGTGGAAAGTCCTGTAGAGGGAGGATAATGTATGGACTGGCAGGGATTAATAGACGGAATAAAAATTGTGGCTCCAAGTACATGGAGTATGTCTTGTCCTAGTACTGGATAAGCCAGAATAACCAGGAAAGGGTGAATGAGGATTTAGATCCAAAGATACAATAGACATGGGGTGTTATGCTGGGCACGTTTGGTATGCCATTTACCCCTACAGTTGGGAAGGAGGCCTTTTTAAGGGGACCCACCTATTCGGTTAAAATTGATCTGGATGCCCTGGTATCAAGGAAGAAAGAAATATGTTTTCCCGATACTGTCCCAGTTACCCATGAATCAGCGGACTCAACCAGTGGCAGAGGCTTTATGATCCGGGCCTTGTCAGTCCTCCATCAGAAACATTGGTATTGATCTACAACCGGGAATTTGAGGCCATGCACAAGGAAAAGACTGTTTTCCCTACAGACCGTCCATCTTCCAGTGTCCCCATTGTCCACACTATGGGCAAGGCCTTATCGGTGGGCATGGATTAGGGCAAGATTTTGCCCAATGCCCCAGGTTTCTTCACCGGAAGCAAGCCTCAGAGGGCTGTTTGCCGGGTTCTTTGGGCTGATATGAGGCATCTGGTTTTGGAGAAGAGAGGCCAGCATTTGGTATTTTTATGTGGGTATTTTTATCCCTTAATTGGCCTCCCCTTCCCTATTGTTAAAAACCTTAAAGGCTGTATTAACTAAGGTTTATTGGGGAGTCTGGGGACCCTCTTCAAGTTTTTGTAGTTTTTTTTGGATGTCTGGAGCTGACTGACTGATAAAGTGGAGGTGTAAGAAAATACAACACCCTCTTGAGAGGCTGGGTTTAAGTTAGTGTATTTGGTCATTCCCTCTATAAGGCAATTGAGAAAGAGGATGGGGTTTTCTAACTGGATCTTGTGTGACTTCCGTAATCTCATCATAGTTGACTTGTTTATGACTATGCCTCCTAATAGGCAGGAAATCATAATGATCCCGGAAAATTGATTCCAGGTCCCCATCTTGATAGTTCCACTGAGGCTTGTTCCTAGGTACTGCCTCAGTGGCGGGGGGAGTGTCCATTGGGGTGTTGTTCATGGAGTTGGTCAGCGTGTTCCACTGCCTTCCATATTCTCTCCTTTTCATCCTCCATGAGGGTGTCATTAATAATGTTGTAAATGTCACCCCTGTGAGTGCATAGACCCAAGTATAGCAGAGGAATTCCTTATGGTATCTTGTTGGATTATCTGAAAAGGAACCCAATCTTTGTTTGATTTAGAAGCTATCATCATAGAAAAAGGGACATGGGCCCTAACTGTGCCTTCTACTCCTGCCACCTCTCATAGGGGGAGAAAGGGCATTGGGTGGTGGTGTGTAGATGTGGGTAGCTATAAGGGTGCAGATGCATGTACTTGAAACCAGGTGTGGGGAAGGGACAAAGGAAGGGAAGGGGCTGGGCCTGAGGAAGGATTTTCTAGGTGGGATGGAGGACCCATCCCGAGTAGAGAGGGGGTCTGGAGAAATTGGACTGGGGGGAGGGCAAGACCAATCAGGAGGGGAGGGTTCATCAGTGGGATTTGAGTCAAAGGTTGATAGGAAGGAAGGAATGAAGGAAGGAAGGAAGGGAGGGAGGAAGGAAGAAGGAAGGAAGGAAGGAATAAGGGAGGGAGAAAGGGAAGGAAGGAAGGAATAAGGGAGGGAGAAGAAGGAAGGAAGGAATAAGGGAGGGAGAAAGGGAAGGAAGGAAGGAAGGAATAAGGGAGGGAGAAAGGGAAGGAAGGAAGGAAGGAATAAGGGAAGGGAGGGAGGAAGGAAGGAAGGAAGGAAGGAAGGAATAAGGGAGAAAGGGAAGGAAGGAAGGAACTTCCTTCAAATGGAACTGGGCCATTTGAAAGGCTTACTTCCTTTGTTTCCTGTCTATCAGGGACTTTGTCTTCATTGCTTAAAGTCCATTGTCTTGAAATCTGTTGTTTAATGTATTTTGTCTGGGTTTTTTGTGGGTTGTTTCAAGTAGCAACATTGATCAGAAACAAACTGCAGTAGACCCTCAGCGCATGCTGTAGATTGGCTAGAATGGTCCTTCATCCTCTGCCTCACTGCCTTTTTTTGTGTGTGTGTGGTCCTGGGACTTGAACTCAAGACCTACACCTCGAGCCACTCCACCAGTCCTTTTTTGTGATAGGTATCATGAACTCTTTACCTGGGCTGGCTTCAAAACGCGATCCTCCTGATCTCTGCCTCCTGAGTAGCTAGGATTACAGGCGTGAGCCACCAGTGCCTGGATAACTGCTTCTTGTTCATCCTTCATTTCTCACTATATCCATCTCCTCTTCAGGGAAACCTTTCTGGATCCAGTGTAAATCAAATTCCTGTAAGTGATCACAGAACTCTTTTTTTCTTACAGTTTATTCAAATTAATCATGGTCATTTTATCCTTCTCCATGATATTTTTCTTTTTATTTTATTAGCAGGTGTTAATTGTACAAAATAATGGGTTTCCTTATGATAGTCTCATACATGTATATAATGTATTTTGAACATATTTCCCCCCATTCTCTCTCTTGACACCCTCCATCCTGCTGGTCCCTTTCCTCTTGCCTAATATTTCCCCTTCTACTTTCATGTCTTTTTAAAGTTTAGATTCCACATATGAAAAAAAACATGAAATACTTATTTGAGGTTGGCTTATTTCACTTAACTTGATCTCCAGTTCCATCCATTTTCCTACAGACAACATGATTTGGTTCTTCTTTATGGCTGAACAAAATTCCATACCACATTTTCTTTTTAAGCTAAACAAAAGCAGGTGGCGTCTCATCTGTTTTATCTGCAGAGCTTAGTATAATGTGTTACACATTGTAGGCACTCAGTATATATTTATTTAGTATATAAATGAGTAAATATAAAAACATACAGAGCTTTCTGTTCAAAAAGTATGCATTTTATTTATATCTTGTTTTCTCTCTGATGCAGATTTTATTAGCCTATTGAAAATCCGGGATGCAGTTCATGCATACAAAAAACTGATAGAACTTAAAAAAAGTCAATGTGAAGAACTTACAGGAAAAATTAAAAGAATGGAAAATAAGGTTAGTGGACTACAAAAAGAGCTATCAGAAATAAAAGAAGCAAAATCACAGTTAGAGCATGAAAAAGTGGAATGGGAACAAGAACTCTGCAATTTGAGGTATGATATCTTAGTTTTAAAGAAATGTTTGAGCTGTTTATCTTATACTACAGACATCTAGGGGAATTTTCCTAATTGCTTGCTTACTTCTTAGGGCTTTGTTGATCTTTTAGAATATGAATTCTTGGAAATAATATAACAAGTTTTATTATCTATTCTTCTAATGTGTTCTGCTTGAGCGATTCCACCAGCCCTTTTTTGTGATGGGTTTTTTTGAGATAGGGTCTTGCAAACTATTTGTCTGGGCTGGCTTCAAATCACAATGTTCCTGATCTCTGCCTCCTGAGTAGCTAGGATTACAGGTGTGAGCCATCGGCACCCGGCAAGTTTTCTTAATTTATACATTTTCTTCTTTTCTCTCTCTGTCTTGTGTGGTGTGTGTGCTGCTTGAAATTGAATCCAGAGGTTTGTACATGGTAGGCAATCACTTGACTGCCACTGAACTATGCTACAATTTTATTCTTAACATTGCATGAAATACAAAGTAAGATGGGAAGTGATTGCTGATTTGTTTACTCAACATCTCTCATACATATATAAAATTAATTCAAATTTCTGTGTTGAAAGAACATTTAATCTTTCTTACTGAATTAAATAGTTGATCCTGTCTTATTCCAAGATAGATTTTTAAATTGCCTATGAAGTATATAAAAATCATGACTGGATGTACGACTTAAGTGGTAGAGTGCCTTCTTTGCAAGTGCAAAGCCCTGAGTTGTAACCCCAGTCTCACCAAAAAAAAAAAAAAAATCAACAAGATTCATTGAAAATGTCGCATAAAATATTTCCTTAGCCTTGGATTACAGTAATATGCATTTATGCATGTATTATGTGAACTGTTGTCTTACACTGTAAATCATTTTTAGGGATAGCTAGTATTTTATGAAGATAAAATTTTATTTCTAATGAATTTATTCACTTATAAATGATAACTTTAAAAATTAAATTATGTATTTTAGTTAAGGAGCAATTATAGTTGTATAAAAAGATAATTTTTAACTTTTTTGCTGAATAATTTAAAAATTACTTTTCCATAACATTTACCAACATTCCAGAAATTTACCAATTAGCAGATTATTCTTTAATTATCACCATCAAGTATGTGTGACCTTTAAAAGAGATTGAAGTGAGAAATTAAAATCATAAGAAATGGAAAAGTATTTGAGAACATAGAAATTTTATCAGAATAATAAGTCAACATGTGGAGATCTAGATGACAAATGAACTTTTTATTTTCTAAAAACAAAATGAGTTTTTAGATAAATATATTTAACTTCAGATTTGCCTTAAAACAAGAAGATGAAAAGAGAAGAAGTACTGATCAATTTTATGAAAAAATTAAGGAACAATTAAGAAAAAAAGAAGAGCAATATAATAAAGAAGTTGAAATGAAGCAACAACTTGAAATCTCTCTTAGGACACTAGATTTGGAACTAAAGGCTGTAAGAAACAATTTGAATCAGGTAAATTAATATTTGGTAAAAACTTACTATTTCTACTTTTGTTTTATCAATATTACTTACAGTGTTCCTTTAAGTTAATGGAGATGTAGCCATATGTCACTTAATTATGGGGATATAATCTGAGAAATATGTTGTCTGGCAGTTTCATCATTGTGCAGACATCATAAGCAAGACATCTACCACACCACTGGGCAATGTAATCTTGTAGGGCCACCATTGTATGTGCTGTCTGTTGGTTGATTGAAATGTTACGTGGTACGTGACTGTATTATTTAGGTTTAAAACAAGATTTAGCCTATTCTAAATGTAAATTATGACACAACTAAAATTGTTCATTTGTAAATTTTGACATCTATTCAATGCTCAGAATATGTTTTCTAAATGGCAGAATGGAAGGTAAATTGAATTTAATCACTAACATAAATGTTAATTTAGGCACTTTTATGTTAAAGTGCAGGGAAACTAGTTAATCTCACATTAAGAACTGTTTTAGCTTTTTGGCAAATTTTGCTTTCATTTATATAATTAAACTGTGTGATTCATGTAGGGTAAAGATCATTGTGTTTTAATAGGCTACTTCCCTTTACAAATTATTTTTTAAATTATGCTCTTTTTCAGAAAATGAAAATTATTTTTAAAGTTTTTATTATATTTATATATTTATTATTTTATATAATATTTATTATATTATCATCATACTGGGGGAGCATCATGATGTTTACAAAAGTGGCTACAATATGTCTTAGTTGAATTCACCCCCTCCATCATTCTCCTTTATCCTCCCACCCCCTATTCTTAGTTTCAGCAAGTCTTATTTTTCCACTTTCATACATGAGTACATAATATTTCCCTACATTCATTCTTCTACACCCTTACGTCCTCCCCTCTCCCAATGATATCAACCCCCTCCCAGACAGACCTGTTTTTCCTTCCTATCCTCTATTTTTTAAAAAAGGCATTTTTGTTTGCTTAAAATATCTATATGGGGAGTTTCATTATGACATTTCCATGTGTACATGTATTAGATCTCAAATTGATTCATCCCCTCCATTTTTCTCCTTTCTACTTCAGTTCCTTTCTTTCTTTTTTTTTCTTTTATATAAAGTCATTACGTAATGACTTGTCTCATAGAGCAAAGAACACCAGAATAAGTTAGACTTTCTTGGTATAGCCAGCTCAAATTGGGTCAGATGGTTTCATTCATCTGCCACAGAGTGATTGCTTGCAGTTTAGTCCTTATAATGATTTATAATGATTTCAACAGGTTTAAAAATTCTGTATTCATTCTTTTATTGAAAGTACATCAAACATATTCACCTTCTTTACTTCCGTCTTTTACCCTCACCTGTTGGTGTCCTCTCCTTAGTGTGACCTGTTTTTCGTTCTTGTCCTTTGTTCAGTGGAATTTTTGCCTTGGTATTATACCTATATACTCATTGTGTTTAAATTAATGTAATCCCCCTTCACTGCACTTTCTTGCCCTTTTCCCCCATCCTGTGTTGTTTAACAGTTTTCTTTGTGGTTTAAGGTTCTGCTCTTAAACTTTTCAATCTTTCTCCCAATGGTATGAGACTAGAATCTTAATGAAATGTTTCTCTAGGTTTTAGAGGAACGAAATGACACTCAGAGGCAACTTTCTCGAGAACAGAATGCCAGAATTTTACAAGATGGGATTCTGGCTAATCACCTTTGCAAACAAAAGGAGATAGAAATGATGCAAAAGAAAATGAGTTCTGAGGTATCTTCTTTAGTCATTTTCAAATGTGTGTGTATATGTATTTGTATGTGCACATATTTTTTAAACCATATATGTATATACACAGTTTGGAGGTGGTAGTGAAATTTTTGGCCCATTGGATAAAGTAATGTTCTTAATTCAATTCCTTTTGTCTGCAGCAGTCAGTGGTCTCATCCAAAGAAGAGACTTTTAATATTTTCCATAGGAATTAATAGTTTTTCTATGATCTCAAAATGCTTATTATTAATAATACATGTGTTCTGGTGTTTGGCAGTGATTTCATCCCCCTTGATATGTTCCTATGGAAGTTTCTTTTATTACGTCCACTACTAGATAAGGAAAAGTATAGACAGCAGAGACAATATTTGGGATGTTATTTCCTCACTTTTTTTCCTCCAGTATTGGGGTTTGAAGTCAGGGCCTCATGCCTGCTAGGCAAGTGCTCTATCACTAGAGCCACAACTCCAGCATTTTTGTTTCTTGTTTGTTTTCAGATAGCATCTCAAGTCTGACTTTGCCCAGACTGGCCTCAAACCTCAGTCCTGTATCTGCCTCAGTAGCTGGAACCACAAGCATGCCCCACCACACCCAGCTTGTTTTTGAGATAGGTTCTCGCTAACTGTTGGCTGGGCTGGCCTCAAACCACAATTCTCCTGTCTCTGCCTCATGAGCAACTGAGATTAAATGTGTGTGCCAGCACACACAGGCTTCATTTCCTCACTTTTGATAAGAGTAACGATTTTTTCCAGATAATCTGCTGTATCAGTACACAGAGCATTTGAAAACAATGATAGACCATAACACACACCTAGTAATAACTTACTGGTTAAGTATTTTGTTCCTAGTAAAATAGGTTGTGTATTTTCTTCTTTCACATTTATTAGTGTTTCAAACATTATGCAGCAACAATAATCTCAGAATTTTCCAAGAATTCTGTAAGTTTTACCTTATTTACCAATAGTATTTTGTAATGCAGTAGACCCTGTTGAAGAAAAGCTATAAATGCTCATATGCATAGACTTAAGTGCTGTAATGCAGATACTTGATTCATTTTTCCCATAATTCTGCCCAACTTCCACTAAACATATGCCATCTTTCAATAAATTCAAAATTCTTACTTTCTATTTAAATTAAGCACATTGTGCACCCTTTTTGGCTTGGGAGGATTGCCATTACTTTTACCTGGCTTTGAGAACACCATTTACTTTTTTGGGAGGCAGATTTTCACAAAATTAAGCTCAGGGAAGCACTCAGTAGATCACACAATGGTTTAAACACAGCTGACAATAACACAGACCCGACTGAGAGCTTTATTGCATAAATTGAGCTGTGTCATGCATGTCAGGAATTTAAATTTTCTGTTTTTGAAATTTCTTTGGGTTATTTTATTTATTGACCACACTTGATCAAAATCATGTGTAATAAATCCACAAATAAGGCAGGCTTACTGTATAAGCTTTCTTTTATTTTTTTGTATATGTAAATAACTGCTTTGGTGGAGAAGCACTAGCAGAGTCAGAAAACCTGGGAAAAAGTCTTGTGGTTTGCCTACATTTTTAATGCCTTCTTTTCAGAATTGTGATAACTAAAGCAGCTCACTGATGTATACAGAATTACTTGGTACAGAGTCTACATTTACCATTCATCAATAAATGTATTTCTTATAACTGACTATAAATATTTTGGAAAACAGCCAAGTACCAGTAGCTCACACCTGTAATCCTAGCAACTTGGAGAATTGACATAGGGAGAATTGAAGTTTGAAGCCAGGTGTGGCTCAAACAGTGGAGCGCCTGCTTTGCAAGAACAAAGCCCTGAGTTCAAACCCCAATCCTACCCAAAAAACAAAAGACAGGTTATAAAAGGAACTTTGGGAAATTTCTTCTGTCCAAATATACATACAGATAAGGTTCTTATGGGCTGGCTGTGGACAATGCATACCACAGGGTAAGCCTAATTTTTTAATGTAGTTGCATCTGTTTACTTTATGCCTTGGGTCTATTGTAATTCAGATAAGGCATTTCCAATTCTGAATTTAAAAAATAGTATCTCTTCTTTGATTTGTTTGTGGGTTTTGTTGTTGTTTTGGCAAAACTGAGGTTTGAGCTCAGGTCTTCCCTCTTGCGAAGCAGGCACTCTATTGCTAGAGCCACACCTGTAGTTCATTTTGCTCTGGTTATTTTAGAGATGGGGTTTCATGAGCTGTTTTCCCAAGGTGTCCTCCAACCACATTACTCTTGGATCTGCCTTCCAAGTAGCTAAGATTAGTCATGAGCCACCAGTGCCTAGTGTGATTTGGTCTTTAGAAACAGGATCTCACTATGTAGCTCAGACTAGCCTTGAAGTCTCTATGTAGTCTTCTCATTTCTTTTATATTTTTGTAGACTCATTTACTTTAATTAACTGTTTTAACTTAAAAGAAATTTGTATTTCTGTAACCATTGAAGTTTAGGTCCAGTTTTTTTGTAGTTGCATATCCATTTATTGCAAACCTTTCATTGTATAAATGTACAGGTTAATTCTTTAATTTTAGAGGATATTCTGGTATGGCATTTTATTGAGTGCTAGATATATGTCTCCTGTTTTACATAGGTTTCTGTTAGTCATGAGAAGGAAAAAGATCTATTGCATAAAAATCACAGATTGCAGGATGAAATTGCCATGGTAAGACTGGAGATAGACACAATAAGAAATCACAGCCAGGAAAAAGAAAAGAAATATCTTGAGGATATTGAAATTGCAAATGAAAAGAATGATAACCTTCAAAGGACAATAAAACTAAATGAAGAAACATTTGCAAAAACCATGCTCCAGTATAACGGACAGCTTAATATACTGACAGCTGAGAATACAATGCTAAATTCTAAACTGGAGAATGAAAAACAAAACAAGGAAAGACTGGAAACAGAAGTTGAATCATACCGATCTAGACTGGCTGCTGCTATACATGATCATGGTGAAAGTCAGACATCAAAGAGAGACCTAGAACTTACTTTCCAGAGAGCAAGAGATGAGTGGCTTCGTTTGCAGGACAAGATGAATTTTGATATATCTAACCTAAAAGATAACAATGAAATTCTTTCCCAACAACTTTCTAAAGCTGAAAGAAAGTTCAATAGCCTAGAAATTGAATTCCATCATACACAAGATGCTCTTAGAGAAAAGACTTTGGTTTTAGAACATGTAAAAAGAGACCTAAGCCAAACACAGTGCCAAGTAAAAGAAATTGAACACTTGTATCAAAATGAACAAGTTAAGGTAAATAAATACATTGGAAAGCAGGAATCTGTAGAGGAGAGGTTATCTCAACTACAAAGTGAAAATATGTTGCTTCGACAGCAATTAGATGATGCTCACCACAAAGCTGACAATAAAGAAAAGACAGTAATTAATATCCAAGACCAATTTCATGATATTATAAAGAAATTTCAAGCTGAAAGTGAAAAACAAAGTCTCTTGCTAGAAGACAGAAATAAGGAGTTGATCAATGAATGTGATCATTTAAAAGAAAGACTGCATCAATATGAAAGTGAAAAAGCAGAAAAAGAGGTGAGTATCAAGAAAGATATTTTTCAAACTTCCTGAAGGAAAATTTAAAGGAATATTTTATTATAACTAAATGTTGAATCTAGTTCAATATAAAAGTATGGATAGTAAATGTATTTGCCATATCATCTCAGAAACATCTTATTTCCAGCAAATACAACTTAGACCCGATTCCCTACACAAAGATATTATCCATGTTTAAGGATCATTACACATTTTGAAATATCACCTCATAAATCATGTACAATTATGTTTAAAGTTTTTGGATTCAGAGTTACATAGTACTGAATTTGCAATCCAAAAAGAAGGGGAAAGTATTTTTTAAAAAGTTAGACCTTACAGATGTTTTACTTTGAGTAAAGACATTGTGTTACTGAGAAATTTTAAGAAGTTTAAGTTAAAATCTGTTAATAGAGAACATACTGAAACTAAAAATGTAGCTGAAATAATTTTTTTTTGTCTTTGATGGGATTTGGTCGTAATGAGGGTGTTTTGGTTTTTTTTATTTTCTCCTTAGCAGTACTAGAGACTGAACTCAGGGCTGTGCACTTAAGTAGGAAAGTGCTCTACCATTTGAGTCATGCCCCAGTCCTTTTTGCTTTTTTAGTGTCAGGATCTAAAACTTTTTACCCAAGCTGGCCTCAGACCACAATACTCCTATCTACCTCAAAATCACTGGAACCACAGATATATGCCACCATACCAGCTTTTTTTTGAGATAAGAATCTCATTAACTTTTTGTCTAATATGGCCTTGAGCCACAGTCCTCCTATCTCTGACCCCTAAGGAGCTAAGATTACAGGCATGTGCCATCATACCTCTATTGTTCTTGGATTTTGATGCTAGGAACTGAACCCAAGGCCTATGCATACAAAGCACACTCTACCACTAAGCTATACCCTAGCCCTGAAATAATAATTTTGATATCTTTAATGTTGTCACGTTTTATGACATGATGAAGCAGATAAATGAAATGCTTATACCTGAGTATTAAGATTCAATTAAATGGGTTACTTTAAAAGTTCATTGCAGATTTCCGAGATCAGTTGAAGTAAAGATGCTGTATTTTGTAAGATTTTCTTCAGTACCTTTTTCTGTATTTCTGGTTGGTATTTTATTTTACTCATGTCAATGTCACTTAAATCTAAAAATAATTTTTTTTAAATTGTGTTTCGTGGCCTGTCAACTCTTTTTTTTTTTTTTTTAACAGTACTGGGGTTTGAATTCAGGGCCTCTCTCTTCCTACACAGGTGCTCTACACTTGACCCACACCCCAAGCCCATTTTGCTTTAGTTATTTTACAAATGGAGTATTGCTTTTTTGCCAGGATTGGCATAGGGTCTTCTAGTCTCTGCCAAGTAACTAGGGTTGCAGGCATAAGTACTTTACCCAGCCTCCACTCTACTTTTTTATCAAATCATAATTTTGGAACAAATGTGAATTTTAGTTGATTTAATGTTCCCTCTGGTATTTTTAATTTATTGAAAATTTTCACAAATAACTTGCTTGTAGTTTTCAAGGCTCAGTTACTGTCATGTAAAGGATATCATTTTCTCCAGTACAAAGATAATTGTAGCTATCTGATGTATTAATTTGGCCTTGAATCTCCATTTTCAGACTAATGAAGGGCAGCAGGAGTACAATGAGTAGAAGAAAGAATTGTTGGAGCTGAGGTCAGGGAGGGAGGCAAAGGCAAGGTCACCTACAAACTCTTATTCTGAATAGGAATCTATTGAAAGGATATAAGCAGAAGATCAAACATGTGAAGAACTCTGGCGTTAATTTGAGCTTCTAATAAAAAAAGGGGGGAAATGTCCCACTGTATTAGATTCACCACCACATACCCATTTCTTTTTGAGATTTAATAGGTTGTTAGGTGTTGCAAATTCATCAGGGGGTGGGTGGAAAGAGGGCTGAATCCATTATCTTAAGTAATAAAATAGTGGCTAAGCAGGAAGAATTCAGTAATAAGAGTACATACACATGAAGAAAAGAGGAATTAATGTGTATGGTGATATTTCTCAAAGTATGTGTAAAAGTTAAATGTTACTCATATTTTTTAAATGTAATTTATAAAAATTTCTAACAGAAATATCTTATCAGGTAGTCATGAGACAACTTCAACAAGAACTGGCTGATACTCTAAAAAAACAGTCTATGTCAGAGGCTTCACTAGAAGTTTCATCGCGTTACCGCATTAATTTAGAAGATGAGACACAAGATTTAAAGAAGAAATTAGGTCAAATCAGATGTCAAGTATGTATGAAATTTATCTATACCCATTTAAGTAATATAAAGCATTTTAAGATACTAATTTCAGTAGATAGCTTTCTTTTGTGCTTTCATTATAATTTTATTACAATTTTATCTTATAATGCACTTATTTCTTAAACTCTGACTTTTATTTTGCCATTTTCTTCTTATAATTTCATACTTATTTCCTTAAAATATGTACCCTTAAAAAAGTCTAGGACCATATAACATTCCTCACACAGTTGAGGAATTTTTTCTGTTAAAAAAGTATTTTTAATGATATACATGATATAATAAGGCTTTTATTCCAAATACATTTTAGGCAATTAAATAGAAAATGAAAAGCACTTAACATAATAGAGACTTTATCAAATACTCATATCATTCCTCACTGTGGGAAAAAAAAAGAACCTAGGTTTACCTTCCTTCATTATGTAGCCAGAAACTGGAATTTATAGATTTATAGTAGTTGATAAACTGAAAAGCTCTGACTATAGCTTTTCTGATATGCCACACCTTCATCTGCTTACCAGAGTACTGGATAACGGCACCACAGCACAAATAGTTGCTGGGAGTGAACTGATTGGGGAACCTTGGTTTGGCAACAGAATCCCTTATTTTCAGATAAGTGGCCTCTGATGGTCATATCAATTACATGCTATCTATTCCAGGAGCTGCGACTTGCATTGTGCTACTGGGTATAAAAAAGTACTTGTGACTAGTGGAATTTATGAAAGTTTCATGAAATACTGGGGCTGTATTTTTGGCCTCATGTTCCCCATTTGCTGCCATATTCAATGGTGTAAGGAATGATTCAGGGCAACTTTTATAGAGACTTCTTCCATTGTCATCTCACCTACCTAAAGTATCAAATTTTATTAGAACATAAGACAAAATAATAATGCTAATAGGGGATATTGTATGTACATATTATCACTAACTCTAATGCTAATAGGTATTTACCACATACTCTTTTAAGTACTTTTTGTATATTCCTTAATTTAATTTTCCCAATAGTTCAGTGAGGTAGACCCTATTACTACCTCCATTTTACTGATAAAGAAACTGAGAAACAGAAAGTTAACTTGCTCAGGAGCACATGGCTACTAACTGATGGAGTGAGGATTCAGACTCAGGCTTTCTGGCTCTGTGGAGATACTGCTACTTAAAACTATTCCATGAGATTTCTAGTTGTAACTAAAATATGCTCATTTTTATCCTAACTGGCAGACCTGTAGCCACTTAGATTTATGAATTTTTTAAAATCATAGTTGATGAATTGGTACTTGAAATACTATAGGGAGCTTCCTCTATTTCCTGTTATACCAGCTTTGTCAATTTGTATCCCTGATAAAACTAAAAACAGGAATAGTATGTTTCATTCTTAGAGCAGAGATCAGTAGGCTTTTCTGTAAAGGGCCAGACACTGTTATTTTATAGACTTTGTGGACCATAAGATCCCCATTGCAACAACCCAGTTAACTCTCCTGTACAATACAAAAGTGCCCATAAGCAATATACAGATGAAGGGGTAACACTGTGTTCCAATAAAATTTCAGCACAAAAATGGGGTGTGCACATTTGTACAAGATTACTAGTAAATATTTTTATTCTTTGTTTTAGTTGCAAGAAGCACAGGATCAACACACAGAGTCTGTAAGATGTGCTGAGAAAATGCAAGATCACCTACAAAAGTATAATTTTTTTTAAATTATTGTTGTACTGGGGATACATTGTGACATTTACAAAAGTTGTTACAAAATATCACGGTTGAATTCACTCTTCTATCCTTCTCCTTTACAAAAGTATCATTTAAAGCAATATACAAAATAATTTGAGTGTTTATAAAGCAAATAAGCAATGTATTATGAGAATTATATCAGTTGTGATAATAGATATATCTGTGTGAAGCTATGGAAAAAATCTCAGATTTAAGTTGCTTGAAATACAGCTCAGTGGTAGAACCTATGCTTTGCACGCATGAAGCACTGGGTTCTGCAACACAGCTAGAAAAATTATGCAGTTGCCAAATCAGCTACTTTTCACACTTTTAAGAATTTATGTAAAGACTCTTCCAAATGTTAGTTCAGAAATTATGTGCTTTTTCTAAAATTATCAAAATTATTTTATTTTGAAATACACGTTTTAGGCTTGAACTTGAAAATTCCAAGTTAAAAGTTACCATAAAAAAGCAAGCAGGGAAAATTGAACAGCTGCAGAAAAACCTGTTAAGTGCAAATATGGTAAGTCAGTTTTTTATTAATTTATTCATACTGAAAAGGAATTTTTATTTCTCTGGTAGTACTGTATAGGAATATTTTAGGCAACAATGGAAATTCTCAGTGTTGTATTCATGTTTATACTACTTTCTACTAGTAGTACAAGTCCTCTTGACTTTATAGATGTTGACTTAATATATAAATTAAGTGATTTTGCTAGTAAGATTTTAATTTTAAAAGTTAGTGATAATCTAAAGCCAAAATTTTGTTTACCATTCATCCATTGATGACATACAGTAGATTATTTCAACTTTTTGGCTACTGTAAATAATGCCTCTCTGGATATTGTTGTGCAACTATCTGAGGTTCTGCCAATATTTTGTAATAACTTGTGAAATTCCAAGAAATTTAAGTAATTATTTGACTGTAACTCTGAATTTCTCTGGTAACCTAGGCCTTTCATCGATGGTGAGAATGAAATACTTATAATTTGTATTCCTTGTGAAGAATGGTCAGTAAGCAAGCATTTGTCCCAAAGAAATATGTTTCTCTCTTTGGAGTTTAAAAAAGAAAAGAGTTGCCAGTGAAAAAGTAGAAATGACTGCTTGCTCTATTGGGGCCTTACAAAGAAACATACTACTGCTAGCTTTGCAGGGTCAGAAACTAATTTTTTTTTTCTTTTCACCTGTATTCATTAGTCATTCAGAGACTAAACAGTCCAATTTCAGAAAAGATTCATGTGTAAGTAGGATGCAAATTTATTGATATATAAAGAAAACTACATTACTATTACCAAGCAGGATAGAACTCTTCTGTTAATACTAATGCTTTCCTTTCTAGGAATTAAAATCACAAGATTGTATTGTTAACACCTTAAGTTGTAGCAATGAAGTAGTTGCTTCCACCAACTGCTTTAAGTCAGAATAATTACATTCATACAGTCCATTATACAGACACACCTATCAGAGGAACTCATGGCCAAAAAAAACACTGAAAAATAGTTTTTTCTAGATTATATATGAACTAGTCCTATTTTATTCACACATTTTTTCATGCATATAACATAACAATTTTTGTTGATAAGGAGTCTTCTATAAATGAGAATGCCAGGAGACATCCCCTTATATAAGTGTCATACAGGAATATATTAAGGTATCAAAAATGGAAATTTTTGTAATAGCACTCAAAATCTATTAGGCTTATTCAAAAATAATGAGGGATAATGTGTTGATTACCAAAGACATGAATTTGGAATATGGCATAGAATTTTTGACTCTTGAGTCAAAAATTTAAAGAGACAGCTTTCAGCCAACTCAGTCAGTAGCCCCTAACTTCTCCATTAGTTCTCATACCATGGGTCCCTACACCACAAATTACCCTATTTAAGATATTTGATATACACAATTTTGACATGAAGACTCTAGATTGGGAAGAAGACAGCTCTAGCTGACTCAAGCCTCCAGACAATACAGTATAAAGGAACTTCAGAACCAGACTTCTGTAACACTATATCTACACAGAAAACAAAAGCGAGTAATCTGATCTTCATGGAAAAGGCTAGCATTATAACAGAAAATGAGACAAAGTATATTAGTCAACATTTTAAGGGTGAGCTACCACCTAAGATTAGAAAATTCCTACACAAAAGGTAACACCAGTAAGAATTAACATAAAATGTGTAAGATTACTGGCCTGCACAAGTGATCCATACCAAGTAGTAATGGATGATGAGGTTCTTGTCTATAAGAAGAGAACTAGAAGGAAGAAATAACATATAAATGACCTCAGTAAAGAGATCAGAGCTGGAAGTAAGCATTTGGCAATCTGGGTCAAAGCCTTCAGATTTAACTGAGAGAAATAGGGAAGAAATTAAACATTAGGGACTTTTGAATTTAGAAATGAAGTAGGGCTGGAAGAGTAAGGAGAAGGAATGGTCACTGTGAGCAGTTGTTATTGTGAAATAAAGCACAGTAAGGACCTTGGTCCTTGATGACCCTCAAAAAATAATTGTTTCATTTTAATATAAATGAAAATATAAAGTGATGAAAAATAGATTTGTAGATGAGCCCATAAAGAATATTAGAGTCCAATGAAAGGAGAAGAGAGGATATTAGGAAAGCCACAAAATCAGGCAAAAGTTACATTTTTTGTGCATCACAGAAAAGATTTAAACTTTAAAAAAAAATAGTTAATAGCAAGAAAAAACTTGAAACTCCTAGAAGAATGCTTTTAGAGAATGAGAGTATTTTTATCATTTCAAAGTCAGATGATGAACATCAAAAATGTAGAGGGAATTTCCCAAAAATCATCTTAGTAAAATGTGATTTAAATAAACCTGTAATATCTTGACCTACTATTGAAAATGTTTCTAGGGCAAGTGGTAGAGCACTTGAGGCTCTGAATTAACTTCCCCACTGTTGCAAGCAAGGAAATAAATGAAAAGACAGATGACAGGTAGATCAATAACTAGATGTAAATATAAGCACATTTAACAAATTTTGACAATTTGAATTCCAGAAAGGGTAAAGATGAAAAGTATTATTCAATTTGAGTTGTTTCCAAAAAAATCATTATTTTTAAAGTCTTTCCTTACTGACATCAGGTTTACAAGCCTATCTGAATACATATTACTCATAAACTCCTAAAAATTATATTTTTAAGAAAGAAAAATAGAACTCTAGAAGTTTTAAAATAATTTTCTTTTAACCTTTTTTCTAAGTCTGAAGATGATAGAGAACAACTAAAGAAACTTACTGAGTTGAAACAATCTCTGGAATATACTGTGGATCAAGAAAAGAAGAAAAATTGTGAATTAGAAAAAGAGCTATCTGGGTAAGATTTAAATATTTCAAATCTTTTCAACCATTTATTAATTGATTTAACTAATTTTACTAAAATCTAAATACTAACCCATTTTTTATCTGCATTATAAAAGTTAAATTATTCTATTTTAAATTTTACTTCAGAAACTCACATATAATCTGAAACTTTTCTGAATGCCAAAATTTTACATTTACTCTTTAATGATTTTGAAACCAACGGCATTGTCTTTGGCATATTAATGTCAGCTGTACTGCTCTTCAACAACCTTGAATTTTTATTTCTGAAAACATTTTGTTCTCTCCTTCTGGTGGTGTCCTTCGGTTCAGCATTCAGATATTTTAATATTTAAAAATCTGTCCGTATTGGTCTTTAACATCAAAAGTTATCTTGATTTAGCTTATATATTCTTTCTTCCCCTTTTTTGTTATAAAATATACCATAGAGATGTACTCTATGTACATGAGATACCTGTGAAACTTGTCTCTTTAAATTACACATATGCATGCACACATGCATGTAGTATGTAGTCATCCCTTGGTACTGTTACCAGAGTCCTAGGCCAGAGGCTGGACTCTGGAGTCCCCAAAAGACCAGAATTGTCCACACCCCAATTGACCAAATGGTAAAAAGCAGTGGTGAAAGCAGGAAAGGAATTTACTCAGTATACCCATGTTGGAGAAAGAGGGATTCCTCACAACTATCTTGGTATACTGACAAGAACTTCAGGTTATATAGGGAAGAGACAAATTAGGGGGGCGGGGGAGCAACAGTATGCATAGTCTAACTTTCTTGGTCAAACTGTGGTCTGGTTAGTTATTATCTCCAAGTTTGGAGCCTTGTCAGGGATAAGAAAGTTGATGCTGCCTGGCGGTAACTTCAGCTCTCATCACAAGATGTTTATTGATCAGATCTATTTTTTCTGGAATCTAAGGTAACTATAAAAAAGGAAGAATCAAGAGAAAAAGACAAGTCAGAAAGGCAAAATAGAGTTAGTCCTTCAGTTTTAAGTCAGTGACTGGAAACTTCTAGGCACCATTCTAGTAATCTGGAACAAGATCTAAAAGCAGACAATTGATAGTTTGTCAATTATTATGTCCTTGCAGATCTTGAAAATATCTTAGTTACTCTTATTTTTGTGTCTTTGGCCTAAAACGAGAGGATTACCAGCTGTAGAGGAGCACTGCTTAAATGATTAACTTGTCTATGTGCAGAGTTGAGCAACATTCTGACCCAGAATTTAAGGCAGCAAAAGAGACAGATGCAGAACAAAGGCAGAGATACCAAGCTTTTATCCTGACTTCCCCGTGGGCAACTAAAAGCCCAAGTGAAGCAGTAAATCAGTGTCTTTAAGTCCCTGATAAAGTATCTGCAGATTGGTTCTAGGACCCCCTGCAAATACCAGAATCCATGAATATTCAAGTATATATAATATATAAAAAATGGTGTAGTATTTGCATTTAACCTATTCGAATCCTACCATACACTTTAGTTCATCTCTAGATTAATACCTAATGTAATATAAATATTATGTAGTTTTTATATTGTAGCATTTAGGAAAAAATGGCAAAAAACAATCTATAAAGGCTCAGTACAGATGCTATTTGTTTGTTTGTTTTTGCATTTTTAACCCACAGTTGGTTAAATCTTTGCATGTGGAACCTGCAGGTACAGAGGGCAGATGATGTGTGTCTCATACATACAAAAATATATGTATGACTTAAAAACAAAGAATGAAATGAACAATTGTTGTTTTACCACCAGATGTAAATAATGGGATGTATTCCAATGTCTGAAACCCCCAACATAGCTGCTTTGCTGTTTTATTTGCTGAGAATTTACTTGTTCTCTAATTCTAATCAGTATTTTTCTTTCATTTGACTATCTTTACATAGTTTGCATCCCTTGCATTTTGGTCAACACTGTGCTAGCAAAGGCCTCTAGATTTTAAGAAAAAGTGTTTATACATGTTTTCTCTCATATATAGATGATATATCCAAAAGATAAACATATATACAAATACAAAAAGAATATTTAAATCGTTACCCATTATTCCTATTAATTTCATTTCTTTTAAAAGTTCTTCCTGTTTTCTTTTTCCTGTCAACTCAAACTTCAAAGTTTTTTTTTTATTTTTGTTTTTGTTTTGTCTCCTTTCTACTTTGATCTCCTTGATGATTTTTTTGTTGGTGCTGGGATTAAACACAGGGCTTCGGGTATGCTAAGTCTACCACTGAGCCAACCCTTAATGATCCTTGATTTTTTTTTTTTTTATTTATTTATTGTTTTTGCTGCAGGGTCTCTCTGTTTAGCCCAGGCTGGCCTGGAACCTGAGCTCCTCCTGCCTCAGCATCCCAGGTGCTGGTATCGCAGGCATGTACTACAACCCTGGCTCTTCCTTCATCTTTTCTGTGTGTGCTTTCTTTGCATCTTGTAGAAGGTGGTCATGACGAACGAAAGTGTACTTTTTTTGTATCTCTTTGAAACGTTTATTTATATTTTACTTCATCTTAGTTACTGATCTTGGGTTACAGCTAATATTTAATAATAAATTAATATTTTATAACTGAAATGGATATTATTATAAGTATAAACTATAAATATTTATTATTAATGATTATTGTATAATCATAAAGGCCTATAAGTATAAATAAGTATTCCGAGGCTGGGATGTGGCTCAAGTGGTAGAGTGCCTGTCTAGCAAGCTTGAGGCCCCAGTACTGCCAAATATATATATAAATATTCTACATATGGTTGCAGTATTCACTCTTTATCTGCCATGCTTGTCATAAAAATTTTTCATATTGTTATTTATCTAAAATTACAACTTTACTAGAATGCTTTCAGATGGTATTACATTGAAACAAATAAGAATCATTAATTTATAGGTTTATTTCTTTTATAAAAATAGAACTTAATGTGTTTGAATAGTTATTAAATATTTACTCTTTAAAAACTTCACTTATTTTTGCAGATTTAAGAAACTTTTAAAAATGACAAAAATGAAGTTAAGTGAACATGAAATCCAAGAGTTTAGTCTCCATGGAGATTTAAAAACCAGTCAATTTGAAATGGGTATTCCAATAAATATGCTAATACACAAGGTAATTTTTAATCAATTTTGGGACCAAAAATCCATTTGGGAAAATATAAACCTCTTAATGCATTGAGCGGTGAAATGAAGTTTCTTTTTTTAATTGATAGAGTTGATATCAATGAAAAACATATCATTTTCTATTATGTTTCTTTTTTTTTTTCATTTATTCACATGTGCGTACATTATTTGGGTCTTTTCTCCCTCCTGCCTCCCCCACACCCTCTACATCCCTCCCCCCTCACTTCCAGGCAGTTCCTGTTCTGTGCTTTTCTCCAGTTCAGTTGAAGAGTAGACATAAGCAATAATAAGAAAGACATAGTGGTTTTGCTAGTTGAATTAAGGCTAGCTATACAGAGAGATTCCTAGCATTGCTTTTGTGTACAAATGTGCTACAACCCAAGTTGATTCATCTCTAACTGATCTTTACACTGGTTCCTGGTTCCCTTTTCATTTTGACCTCTGTTGCTTTAAGGTTTCTGTATTAGTTCTTCTGGAGTGGGGACATCAAATGCTTTCATGTTTTCGGTTTTCTCTCTAACCCCGTACTTCCCGTATATGTTCTCCCCTTGTCATGTTACCCAAGTACAATAACATTGCTGTATTTGCCCTAGATCTAAAGACCACATATGAGGGAGAACATAAGATTTTTGGTCTTCTGAGTCTGGCTAACCTCACTCAGAATGATGTTCTCCAGTTCCGTCCATTTTCTTGCAAATGATAAGATTTCATTCTTCTTCATGGCTGAGTAAAATTCCATTATGTGTAAATGACACATTTTCTTCATCCATTCATCAGTAGTGGGGCATCTTGGTTGTTTCCATAACTTAGCTATTGTGAATAGTGCTGCAATAAACATGGGTGTGCAGGTGCCTTTGGAGTAACCTGTGTTGCATTCCTTCCGGTATATCCCCAGGAATGGGATTGCTGACTCATATGGCAGATCTATGTTTAGATTTTTAAGAAGCCTCCAAATTTTTTTCCAGAGTGGTTGCACCAGCTTGCATTCCCACCAGCAATGTATGAGGGTTCCTTTTTCCCCTATCCTCGCCAACATTTGTTGCTGGTGGTGTTTTTGAGATGTCTATTCTAACAGGGGTGAGGTGGAATCTTAGTGTGGTTTGGTTTGCATTTCCTTTATGGCTAGAGATGGTAAGCATTTTTCCATGTGTTTTTTGGCCATTTGAATTTCTTCTTTTGAGAAAGTTCTGTTTAGTTCAGTTGCCCATTTCTTAATTGGTTCATTAATTTTAGGAGAGTTTAGTTTCTTAAGTTCCCTGTGTATTGTGGTTATCAGTCCTTTGTCAGATGTATAGCTAGCAAATATTTTCTCCCACTCTGTGGGTGGTCTCTTCAGTTTAGAGACCATTTCTTTTGTTGTGCAGAAGCTTTTTAATTTTATGAAGTCCCATTTGTCCATTCTTTCTCTTAGTTGCTGGGGTTCTATTGCCTATACCTACTACTTCCAGTGTTTCCTGCTCCTTCCTGTAGTAACTTCAGAGTTTCAGGTCTGATATTAAGGTCCTTGATCCATTTTGAGTTGCTCCTAGTTTAGGGTGATAGACATGGATCGAGTTTCAGTTTCTTGCAGATGGATAACCACTTTTCCAAACAACATTGGTTGAAGAGGCTGTCTTTTCTCCATCATATATTTTTGGCTCCTTTGTCAAAAATGAGGGGGTTATAGTTGTATGGATTCATATCCGGGTCCTCTCTTCTGTTCCACTGGTCTTTATGTCTGTTTTTGTTCCAGAACCATGCTGTTTTTATTGCTATTGCTTTGTAATATAGTTTGAAGTCGGGTATTGTGATACTACCAACATTGCTCTTTTTGCTGAGTATTGCCTTGGCTATTTGTGGTCTCTTGTGTTTTATTATATTTCTTATGTCTGGATAAAGCCAAGCAGTATACCATTATATGACCCCAAATCTCCAATACCAAATCAAGTTTTTTGATAACAGTTTTATTAGGATATAATTTAATGTACTATGAAATTCAGTCATTTAAAGTATACAGTTTGGTGTTTTTTAGTATATTTACAAAGTAAAGAAGCATACTAGCCTAGTTGTAAAAATTTGCAATTTTAAGGAAAATGTGGGAGGAAAAAGAAAACAGCTGTTTTTAATGTCTTCTAGTTGTCTTGTCATTAGCATTGTCACTAATAAAATTAATCTTAGTATTTATTAGATCTTACTTTAAAGAAGTCTGATTTCTATTGTGTGAGTTATGGTTTGATTTGTTTCTTTTTGGTGGTACTAGGGTTTAAACTCAGGGCTTTGCTCTTGCTAGGAAGTTGCTGTACCACTTGAGCCACTCTGCCAGTCCTTTTATAGTGTTAGGTATTTTCAAGATAGGATCTCACAATCTGTTTGTCCAGGCTGGCTTCCAACCTTGATCATCCTGTTTGTTCTCTGCCTCCTGAGTAGCTAGACTTACAGGTGTGAGCCACAGGCACCCAGCCAAGTTATTGTTTCTTACTGTCTTTTTAAGATCCTTTTTTCTGTTTATTGTTCCCTAATCTTAAAAAAAAAAGAAAGAAAAAAGTGTCCCCAAGTTTAGTGGCTTAAGGTATTTTTTTTCCAATTATGTAGTTTGAAAATCCTGGTGAAGACAGCTTGTCTCTGCTACTCTGAGCTTCATTTGGGACAGCTGAAAGGATAAGGGGCTGGAATCATCCAGCTTATTCACTAATGTGTGCTTGCTGTTGGTGCTGGCTGTTGATGAGAACTTCATTTGGGGCAGACTGCTAGAATATTCCTACTCTGGAACACTTTAGCTCTCTTTGTGGACTGAGCTTCTTCACAACATGGGCTTGGTTCCAAGGGCAAGCAGTCTGAAATAGAGAACTTTTCTAAGGTAATACTGGAAGTCACATGGCATCACTTCATCACACTCTACTCATTAGAAGCAAGTTAAAGGTTTGCCTCTGTGCTACCTATTTTAGAGAATGAATATTAAAGAATAATATGTTCTAAAACCATCACACTCTTATGATCACAGTGTTTGGGGTTTTTTTCCCTCCCATGTGAAAAATACTCGAGGGGAACCTCAAGACTCACTGCAGGTCTCAGGATGTGATACCTAGTTGTGGTTACTAAAATAATTGAATACAGTTCCTGTCAATATGAAGACTTCCAAAGTAAAGAGATGACCCCTACACACATACCATTCTGCTATCTTACTAAAATCTCTCACTTCAACAGAAGGAAAACAAGAGGCACTATATATGCCATCCCTCCTTTGATTAGGAATTAGCCCTAAACATGGGAATGATTCTCCATGGCTCTTTGCTATACCCTCTGGGCTCATTGTTCTACTCACTTCTTAAGAAATATCCTGTGTTTGTAACTTTCTCTGCCTGTTTCCTCCTCCTTGTAGAACTTCCAAGGTCCAAAGGCCTCTTTATTTTTACTGTCTTGGTCTCTTTCACTCTAAACTAGTAAGCTGTGTTTTTGCTGCTACATTTCTCTTAAGAACTCACAGTCTCCTGTGGGTTTTATTGGGGTTCATTCATTAGAATAGCTACTTTCACAAATCTTTTTGAGATACGCTCTTCACCTTGGCTTCCTGTGAAGCTGTACTAGGACAATGCCCTCAAGATTTTTGTACTTATATGATTCTTAAAGGAAACTGAGGTACCACCTTAAATCATTCTGAAGTCTTAACAAACGGTTTTGTAGTCATGGTCTTGGCTTCTTCCTTAAACCAAGCATTCCCAGTAGCAGCCTGGACTTGATCTTATCCCAGAAGCCATTTATTTGTAGCATTGTTTAACAATTTAACTTATAAAGAGGCTACAAACGAGAAACAGATATTTGAACCCAGTTAATAATCTTCCTTTCTCTCTTAGTACAGTTTTACTACCAACTGCCATATAGCAAGTCTCTTTTCCTCCAGGTTCCACTAGCCTTGTCAGTCTCTTTAAGGGCCACCAGACTTCCATGAATAGTCCCTTTGTAATCCTTTTGGCTTTCTTCTTTTTCTAGGTCTTTTCTGCTCCTGGTCCAAAGGCACCCTACTTGTTTTAGTTTTCTTTTGGATGGATAGATAATAGATAGATAGGTAGGTATGTAGATAGATAGATAGATAGATAGATAGATAGATAGATAGATAGATAGAAAGAATCATTATCTGTGCCAGTTATTGATGGTACAATACCTCAAAATTCAGTATCTAAGATCAACATTTATTTTGTTCACAATCTGCAGTTTAGGCAAGGCTCAGTGAGGCCAGCTCATGTCTTCTCCACTTGGCATCAGCTGGGGTGACCCGAAGCTGGGGACTAGAGTCATTTAAAGGCTTGTTCATTCACACATCTGGCCATTGAAGCTGGCCTTCATCATTAGCAGGGGCAGTCAGCTGAACCACTTACATAATGATATGGTAGCTGGGTTCTAAGAGTGAGCGTCCCTAGATAGCACTAGCTGGAAGCTATAACACATTTTCTAACCTATGCTTAGAAGTCACACAGCAGCTCCACCATATTCCATTCACTATAAATCAATTACTAAGTTCAGTTCATGTTCAGGAGAGTGAATTCCACAGGAGAAATGTCAAAGAATTTGCAGACATGTTTTAAAACCACCATTAGTCTAAATAATCACTATGACTATAATAAAGTAGTTCTGCCCAACTCTGTACTGAAATCCTACCAAGTTTCTGTTGTTGTTGTTGTTGTTATTGTTGAATATGCCCCCTTAGTTTATGGAAAGAATCAGAAGAGTACAAGAAAATGCTATTGAATTAAGTCATTCTTGTTCAAAAAAAAAAAAAAGTATGGATCATGTCACTAAGCTTTTATATAGAAGGTGTCATTGTGCCTTAACATGAATTACTTCTTGAAATACGGTTCAAATTTACATAAAACATTTAAAATTCAGAAAATGGCTTGGCCATTAGAATCTACACTTAAATAAGATTCATTAACGTGATTTTCTCAAAGTCTTATTCTGGGAGCCATCTGTTGCTGCAGGTTCAAATAATTCAATATGATGTCTCAGAAATTATGGGTAGTGAACATGAGGAGAAGAGGTCACAGACCATCTAATAAAATGTGACTTGGAGTCATTTTAAGAAGAAAGATATCTTTCAGAGAAAAAGCATTTTGAAGTAATAGTAACAGTAGTTTACTCTGTGCCAGGTATTTTAAACAACTTATTTAATTCTCATAATCCTAGGAAACAATTACAGTATTCATTTTTGTACTAATAAGGAAACTGAGTCCAAAAAACCCAAATGATAAAGCAGGAGTAATAAATATTCAGATTAAGGAAAGAGCTGGGACATGGCTCAAGCAGAAGGGGGCCAGACTATCAAGAGCGAGGCCCTAAATTTAAACCCTAGTTTCATAAAAAAGAAAAAAAAGCAAATTAATTAAAGATAAAAGAAAATACTAAGAATTTGGAGAACTATGTTTGTATTCTTATACCAAAGCTGTACCTTGTTCAGCCAATCCAGTGAGATTTTCTAAGAAAAGAAAAAAGCCAGTAGCTAATTATACTATGGAGCAACAGGAGAATTGAGCTGTTGCCAATCAACAGCCTCACTAACTGCTCTCTGACTGAAGTTTTTGTGTTTTCTAAAGCAATTGGCAACAGATTTCAGAACTTTCACATTTTGCAAATACAGTTACCCATCTTTTAAGCAGGGGGGAGGACCAAGTAATAAAGTTTAAAAAAAAAAAAAAAAAGAAGAAAGATATGAAACAAGCACTAAAAGTCTAAGATCAAGTACAAGTGTTTTGTGACAAGTTCTGTGTATAAAAAATACATTTTTGTGACTCTTGATGGTTTTAACTTTGTTAATTTTCTGAGTAATTCAAGGGACCACATTCTAGGAGTCTAGCTTATATTTTATTGCAACCAAAATTATGTCAAAATTTGTTACTGGTTTGTGGTATCCTATTGTCATTACCTTTATTGCTAAACTTTATTATTTTATTCATGCAGGTTGATGATCTTACAACAAAACTGGAAACTGTGTCTTCAAAATGTTTACATCTGGATAAAAAAAATCAACTTCTTCAGCAGGAGTTATTTTCTATGAAAACTATAGAAAAGAAATGTGAAAAACTAGAGAAGAACAAAAAGAAATTGGAACAAGAAGTAGCAAACCTCAAAAGTCATTTAGAAAAGAATATGGTGGAATATGGTCAATTAGAACAGTACAAACGGGAAATTGAAGAAAGAGCAAAACAGGATTTAGTGGAAAAATTAAGACAAGTCAATCTGTTTTTACAGGTTGTTTATTTGTAATGTGCTTTAATTCATTTCACTGCAAATTACATGTTGGGTGTATGTGTTATATGTGTTCCCTTTATTCATTACTTCCTAGAAGGAAAATGACATGTTTTTTCCTTTAAATATTTGTTTCATTATTATAACTCAGTTGATCTTTCAGAATAATGATTTTCATTATTGTTGATTTTTAAGACTAGTTGGCATAAAACAAAATCAAGAGGAAAAGAAAAATTGTGAAGAAGAAATTTTACCATACTCTTGAATTGTTCTTAATTTACATTATTCAATTTTTAGTTTTGAATTACACTTTAAGTTATCATATTACATGAGTACTAACCTAGAATGACTCAGTGCTGTGGATGTGGTAGAGTGCTTGCCTAAGCATGCATGAGTCCTTAGGTTTAATCCCCAAGACTCAAACAAAACAAAAAAAATCCAACTTTTTTTATAATTCACTTAATGCTGTTGATGATGAGTTTTTTAAACTCCACCATGTTTTTCACATGTTTAAAATTGCTGAATCTGACTCAAAACTAAAGGAAACAAGGAGCTTGGGGGTAGGGCTAGCTCAAGGGGCAGAGTGTTTGCCTAGCAAGCATGAGACCCTGAGTTCAGACCCCAGTCCTGCCAAATAAATAAATTATAAAACAAATACATCATAGTAATTATTTGGTTATAATCCTTTTAATTTTCTTTAGACACACGCAGCATCTCAAGAAAATTTGGAGCAGTTAAGAGAAAATAATAATGCTGCAATAAGAAGTCATATGGAACTGAGAATTAAAGATATGGAATCTAAACTCTCTAAAATGAAAAGTCAAGAAGATTTCAATAAAATAGAACTAGAAAAATATAAGCAGCTCTATCAAGAAGAATTCAGAAGTAGGAAATCATTGTCAAATAAACTAAACAAGTAAGTCAAAAAACAATCATAGAAAATAAACTTACGAAATTATCTTTACATCATAATTTTTAATTAAACAGGTTCATGAGATGAGTAAGCAGTGATAGCTAACTAGTAATATAATTTGGAAAATACTTTTAGTAAATGAACTTTAAAATGTTAGTCCAAGATTGTTTTGGTTTTGGGTTTATTTGGCTTTTCCCTCTTAAAATTCTCATACAGTTAACTTCATCAATTAGTCTTTAAGTTAAGGATTTTTGACACTATATAATGAAGACAATTACATTGTTATAGAATTGCTTGTCAGCATTCCATTAAGTAGAAATACTAGTATTTCTGCAGGCATCCCCAAGAATCTTGTAAGTAGAGTCCTTCAAGAAGCCAGGAGTGTTACCTATATTAAGTCATGCACCTTGATAGCCATTTCCCTCCCTCCTACTTTCTTTGAATTAGTTGTGAGTTAGGAATATCTGTACATCTTTAGAACAATTTTAAACCTATATTTGGATATAATAAGTATGCTGAGTCACATTTCCAATGTTAAGACACTTTGAAGAAAAATTTTACTCTTAGTGGCAGATCTTTTAAATTGAAAATTTTTTTAATTTTTATTTTATTCATATGTAGATACAATGTTTGGGTCATTTCTCCCTCCTTCCTCCCACCCCCTCCCTTACCCCCTCTTACCCCTTGTTACCCGGCAGAAACTATTTTGCCCTTATCTCTAATTTTGTTGAAGAGAGACTATAAGCAATAATAGGAAGGACCAAGGGTTTTTACTAGTTGAGATAAATTGAAATTTTTCACTCTCCACAGAACTAATGAGAGGCTAGAGGAGGCCAACAACAAACTTCTTTTGGAGGAACAGCAGAACAGATCTCTACTCAGCACCTTTAGTACAAAGTCTGTCCTAGAATGCCCTTGTGTTAGAAACCTTCATAGTAGTTTGGGACTCAACAGAAGTTTTATTCCAAGAGAAAATTTAGTGCTTCCTCCCTCAAGCCCACAGCCTTCAAATAAGAGCCTAGAGAACTATCTGACCAAGGTTAGTTATATTGTTTTTTCCTTTGAGTTTCAGATTTCTGATCTCATTCTTGTTTTTAATTTGGTGAAAATAACTGAGTTGTTTAGCTGACTTATGCATGTTAAATAAAGGTCATCAATACAGAAAACAAATTTTAACAATTTTTTTTAATCCCTGGAACTCTCATATTCAAGAGCTACTCATTTGTTAACTTTATTGAATAAATGTAACTAAGCTAATATATTTTAACTCTTTAAATGCTTTGCTTAAATCAGATTTTTAGGAAATAAATATAACTGCCCATAACTAAAGGCATACTTTGAGATGCTCTGGCTTACCTTCTAAGAGATTTTAGTTTGACTGTGCTTTGTGATACTTTGAGTTTTCCTGCACCATCCCAAGTTTTCTACCCCCAATTATAAGTGAGGCAGTGTTTATAATTTAAAGAAATCTGAGCTAAGTAGTAACACTACAAAAGATTGATTTCTGTCTGTAAAATTTGTACAATTTTCTTAAATAACAATACATCCTTAATTGCCATATTACTTACAGCATCTATGTCTCAATTTTTGTAAAATGTATTTATTGCTCTACTCTTTACTGCAATTACAATAGTTTTTAAATAGTTAAAGTAAGCAAATATTTTAATGAAATCTATCTTACCTTCACTTGAATGAATAATGACTAAAGATGGTATTGATATCAAGAGGCTTTAAGTAGCACCTAGCATCAAACAAGACTCACTTCTATTCTTTCTCTATAGAATCTCATGTAAAGTTGTATACAATCCCCATCTCCCCTGGAGGTGTAACAGGAGTCTTCCCCATCTAACCACCTGATAGCATTCATAGTAAGAATCCATTTCTGGGAATCTAAAATGCTTCCAATTGTGACAAACTCTATCAATTGTAGAGTTAGTAAGAAAAAAATAATTTCAACTGTGTTTGACTCAGTTTAAGATATGTGTCTGATGTTGACACTTTGAGCAGGAAGTAAATTTAAAAAACAAAATATAAACAAATAGCTAATTTTTATTATGTGTCATTGTTATTAAAATATCCATTTTAGCTGGTACACATTGAATTACAGCTTTGAGGATGTTTTCATGATCTCTTAATACATAGAAAAGTACCATAGGCCTGTGTTAAATGAGTCCTGACCTTATTTTTTTTACTTGGCATCATGTCCTAATAAAATCATAAAACAAATCTAAGCTTTTTTGACAACATTGCAGTTCAGTAGCTTAAAAGGGAACAAATTAAATAAATTATACATAAATTATAAGATCTTGGCTAGCTAATTTTTTTTACCATTTTCTTAGATTTTTTTCTGAAAAACTGAGAGGATCACGATTCAAGTGCTTAAAGTCATGAAATTGGACTACTGTGTACAAAAAGAGAGTGAATATTAAATATTTCTGTAAAGTGTTAAGCATTATGCAAATATAAAGTGTTCCATTAGTTCTTACCAGAAAGAACAAGTAATATATCTTTTTATAAGAGAGTGTTAATGAGTGTGTAAATGTAAATATGGTGCAAAGGAGGATTTGGGGAAAATTATTGTCCCTTACTGGGGACGGGGGGGCATTACTTTTTAATATTTCCAGATAAGTTGAAAAATTACTCATTTTAAACTAGCAGTTCCAAGATGTACATGGTTTACTTGTGGGACATAAGTTTGCCAAATTGTCCTAGATTGAGTAAGGAAGACTAAAAAGCACTCTTCTATCAATATACAAAGATACAGTTCCATAATCACTGCAAAATGCAATTTTTATACAATTGTCATGTAAAAAATTCTTAGAGTCCCTTCTGGAGTTGGTTGGAATTTGATTATTTTTGCTGGGAAAACAATAGCATAGGAGGTGGTAACATACTGTCTAAAATGATTTTTTTAAAAAGGTGGATTTTTGGATGACATATTTCAAAACAGATTTTTAAAGAGTTTTAGCTATAATTCTAGAAAGTAAAATGTTAAAATTAGCATTGATACTGCATTTGTTTATCTGTCTCCTTTATTTGCAAGGTTTTAACAGTTTGGACTATTCCTGTTGTGAAGTTCTGTCTTGCTAGCATTTTTTTTGTAATTGTAAAGAACAATATGGTTACAGTTGTACTGGTTGTTGAAGCAAGTTTTCTCCGTTTATAGCATTTAGCATTTATTGAGTCTGTTACCATTACATGAAATTTAGTCTTGCCATTTAACACCATTGTAGTTACAGTAGATTACTACATACATGTTTGGCTAATTTTTACTTTCAGTTTTCACACTTTAGTTTAACTCTGAGGTTCCTTGCTCTGTTTATTAGAAGTAATTATATGGATTTTTTGTTCCTTATTAATTTTTATTATTGCAAAATATGAAATTTTTCAATTTTTGCATGTAGAATTCTTTTCTGATAACTAAAAAACTGGATGGGATTTCTTCCTAGGAATTGAACCTAGGTCCTTATGCATACTAAGAACATGCTCTACCATTGATACACTCTCTGCCCTGATAACTAAAATTTGTTATATTAGTTGGATGCTCTGTAATTCCTCTTGTCTCTACTTCATTTTATAATAATAAGCCAAATGCCCAGATTTTGATGGTTGGTTTTGTTTTTATGGTATTAGGGATTGAGCCCAGAGCTTCATGTACACTAGGCAAATATTCTACCTACCACTTGAGACATGCCCCAATCCTTTTGTTTTATATTTAATTTTTGAGATAAGTCTCACTGTCTTTGCCCAGACTGGCCTTGAACTCACAATCCTCTGCTGCTACCTTTCAAGTATCTAGGATTACATGTGCATGCCACCATGCCAAGCCCAGTAGTCATTTTATTCTCTAAAAATTTCAGATAGTCCTTCATTGTCATCCAGTTCCTTTTCTTTAATCATTTTTTAACAAATTCCTTAAATACATATTATAGCTCTGCAATTAATTGTTCAGCATCTTAATAAATAATTCCTCAGTTCTCTTCTATGGGAGAAAATACATCTATTCAATATTTTTATTAGGGTGTATTACTTGTACAAAGTAAGGGGTTTCATTGTGATATTCCATACATGCATATAATGTACTTTGATCATGTTCACCCCATATGTTAATCTTTCTTCTCCTTCTTTTCCCATCCCCTTAAAGCTTCTAGTAGTTCCCCCTTGTATTTTCATGACCTGGGTTTTTTTCCCCATTTCCCTCCCCTAGTGTATATACCACATTTTCTTTATCCACTTATCAGTTGATGGGCGCTAGACTTGTTCTATAACTTATGAATAGTGCCATGGCCAATGTGGGTTCACGTGTCTCTGTAGTAAGACGGTATTCTTTTGGGTATGTGCCCAGGAGTGTCACAACTGAGTCGTATGAAGTTCTACTTTTAATTTTTTTTTTTTTTTTGACAATGAAGTCAAGGTCAATAAACTTCACTTTTAATTTTTTGAGAAACCTCCGTAGCAGCTGGACTGCTTTACGTTCCTGAGTCAGCAGTGGGTAATATTTTCTTTTTCCCCTGCATCCTCACCAGCATATTTTGTTGTTATTGTTGTTGAAGATACTCTTTCTGACTGAGGTAAGGTAGAATCAAGTAGTTTCGGTTTGCATTTCCCTGATGGCTAAGGATGTTAAACATGTTTTCATGTATTTATTGGTCCTTCATACTTCTTCCTTTGAAAACTGTCTGTTTAGAGCTGGGCTCCAGTGGCTCACACTGTAATCCTAGCTTCTCAGGAGGCAGAAATCAGGGTGATCACAGTTTGAAGCCAGCCCAGGCAAATAGTTCACAAGACCGTATCTCAAAAAAACTTTCACAAAAAAGAGCTGGTGTAGTTGCTCAAGATGTGAAAAAAAAAAAAATGTGTATTTAGTTCCATTGTCCATTTATCAATTGGATTATTTGCTTTTCTGTTTAAATTTTTGAGTTTTGTGTACATTTTAGATATTAATGCCCTCTAGACTAATATCTGGCAAAGATTTTCTCCCATTCTGTAGACTGTCTCTTCACCCTCTTGTTTGTTTCTTTTGCTGTACAGAAGCTTTTGTCACAATCACATTTGACACTTCTTACTCTTATTTCCTGAGCTATTGGAGTCCTCATAGAGTTCTTATCTATATCTATATACTCATGTGTTTTCCCCTTCTAATTTCAAATTTTCAGGTCATATATTAAGGTCTTCGATCCATTTTGAGTTGATGTTTGTACAAGGTGAGATATAAGGATCTATTTCCAGTCTTTTAATTTAATATGGATATCCAGTTTTCCCATCAACACTTGTTAAAGAGGCTATTTTCTTCAATTTATATTTTTGGCACCTTAGACAAAATACCTGCTTGGACTTACTTCTGGATCTTCTATTCCATTGGTCTACATGTCTCTTTTTTGTGCCAGAAGCATAATGTTTTAGTTACTATGGCTCTGTAGTATAACATGAAGTCAGGTATTGCGATACCTCCCATGTTGCTTTTTCCCCAGGATTAATTTGGCTATTCAGGGGCTTTGGTGCTTTCATATGAATTTTAGGATTTTTTTTCCCTATTTCTGTGATGGATGCCATTGGAATTTTGATGGGATTGCATGGAATTTGTATATAGCTTTGGTAATATGGTCATTTTACAACATTTTTTCTGCCTATCCATAGACATGGGAGATCTTTCCATCTTCTAGTGTCTTCTGCAATTTCTTTCTTTAATGTTTTACAGTTTTCATTTACAGAGGTATTTAACATCAGTTGGGTAAGGTTATGCCTAGTCTTTATGCCTAACATAATTGGTTAAGTTTATGTCTAATGCATCATTCTATACTCTGTTGGCTTTTAGAGTTTTTGTTGAAAAATCTGCCTTTATTCTGATGCATTTGTCTTCATATGTGACTTGGGGTTTCTGTCTTCACAGCTTTCAATATTCTTTCCTTGTTCTGTATACTTAGTGTTTTAATTATAATATGTTATGTGGAAAAGTTCTTTTCTGGTCTTGTCTGTTTGATGTTCTAAAAGCCTCTTCTTCCTCTTTTCCATGATTTGGGAAATTTCCTACTATTATTT